TGAAATAAAAAAGGGGGAAATACAAAACCAAAATGAAATAAATGAATAAAATAATGAAAGAGATCGGGGATTATGGGTGTGCGGGTTTTTCAAGGGGAAATATTTCGGTTATTGAAGGCGGGGAAGTTTGAATTTTGAACCGTTGCTTAGCTTCAATCACTTTAGCTTCCTGCTTGCTGCTGCTCTATGGAGTTCTGGGATTAGGTATGGGCTAGTGCTAAAGGCGTTCGTCGCGGAACCATTAGATCTTCATAAAGGCATACTTTTAACTCTTCAAAAGGGTATCCAACTATCCACGACATTCAAATTTAAGGCGATGATTTACTAGTTATCAAGGCAATTATGGGTGAATGACATTTCCATAGACAAATCCAAATTAAAATATCATTGAAGTCACGCGTATCCTTTTGTCAAAGTTCAATAACTGAACTGCCAGTCACGTGTTCAAGGAAATAAATCGTGCAGCGGGTTGAATATCTAATGTAGGACATTCTGTAGTAGTAGATTCCATGGTAATCAACTAATCAATTATTATACTTGTTTAGGTCTAGCTTTTAATCTTCAAACTGCCACGTTAGGAGTTTCCCTCGTGAGGAGAGTATCCTAATATTCTTTCTTCTTACATTCAATAGTTACGGGTCGTTATGTGCCTTATATGGATATTGTCGTATAAGATGACATTAATTATAAATTGTATATTACTTGTATACTGTATATCTTTAGCTTATACTCCGTAAATAGTTGTGAATTTTTCACTATATAAAAAATGAACCATAACTTTTCCCCTTTCTCCTAAACCTTAACCTCCGTTGTTAATTTTTAAGGGGATTCCATTGAAACTTATTAGTGGAATGCCCCAACCTAAGTCTTTTTTTTTTCTTTTTGTTTATTTTTAGCTTATAATAATGGTTTCTTTGCTCGAGAGGAATCTGTCTCCCTCGAAAGAAGAGTATTTCTCCTTCAAAAGACGAATGTTTCTCGAGCTCTTTCGAAAGACAAGATGTTCTCTACACTACGATTGATATTGCTTACTCAGATTCATGATACAAAATTATCACAAGAATTTTCTTCCTCCAAGAATTACGAAACGACGACAGATCCACTCAGATAGCTATATTGTATGAGACAACGAATCAAGAATATGTTGAATTGTTATATATATGTATTTGGATTCTCAATCTTTCGCTGATTAATCCTTGTTTGATTTTGTTAAATTTATTTTCTTTGTCGTTGATACCAATTCTAAATGTCATTTGACTTTTTTCAATAGAAATTGGAGTTCTTTAAGAAAGAAAAAATTATAAGATATTATCTTTATTCCAAAATAATATTCGGCACATTTGTCAATATAGTATTTTTGACCTTAAATATAAATAATTAAATATAAATAACAAAATTTTTGATTTAATAAAAGCAATATATTTATACGAAGTACTTAAATGGATATAGTGAATAAAGTTACAATATATGTGCTTCATCTTTAGAATTATCTTTGTAAAATAGAAGCAGTGGATCATGAGTTTTCTACATTGTTGTATCTACCATCTTCTAGTCATGTCTTTCCCTCACCATCTTCAACTATATATACTTATATTACGCATTCAATCGCATACATACACACACATAAGAAGTCACACCCAAATAAACCTTGCTATATAGCAGTCTTCTTTGTAATCCAACAACCATTCATCTTTCACTTTGGGAAATTAAATTACAGTAAAGAAAATCAATAGATTAGCAAATCAAAAGATTGATTTTTAAAAACAATTAAATCACATCATTATTCTTCACTAATAATTCACTAATCACTACTCCAGAGTAAACGACAAATATATATACCTAAATAATAATTCATCAATAAATCAATTTTGTTTAAAACCTAAATTCCAAAAAATGAAAAAAAAAATCTAAATAATTGTCAAAGAAAATGCAATAATCATCATAATAATCTAACCAGGTTAATAATTACAACTAAAACCTTACTCATTGAGAAAGTTAATAAACAATTAACTACATTAGTAATTATATATATATATATATTTTTGAAACCACATTAGTAATTATATTTTGATTTATGAACTAAATTAATTTTCCAATACATTCACATCGTAGCTACATTTTAGGTACAAACTAGTTTTTGGCCCGTACGATATCCCGGGTCATTGCTTGTATTTTGATTATAGTAATTTTGTTTAAAATTTTTTTGCCAATTTGATTAAATATTAGAGGGAGGCAACTAAAAAATTCTATGATGGGAATATTTGATACCCATTAATAGTTACAAAATTTCAATGGGGAATCAAAGTTGAAATTAAAAAAAAAATTGAATTTATGTTTGCTTATTAATTGAAATAATATAATAATATATTGAGTAGTTAATACAAAATTGCAAAATAAAAAGTGTTACGTCAATTAGAAAGCTATAATGTGTAGTTTTAATCCATTTTATTAAGAACAATAAGTATTAAGAGCCATAGTTCGATGGTAAATGTCTTAAATTTAATGGTTCAAATTCTAACTCAATCATAAATTTGCATTATTACATTGATTTTTAATATTTAGTATAGATGAAAAGGTTGAGGAAGTAAAATTGGAGGGTTGTGAGACAAATGCAAATGTCTCACAATTATTAAAATAACATAAAAGTAAAAAAAGAAGAGAGATAGGAAGAGTGAAATAGGTGGTGTGGGCTCCACTAAAACTTTTTAGAAATGGTTTCACGTGCAAAAACGACAAAAAAAAAGGAACCACAACTACTAAAAGTATATTTTGTATCACTGAGGATTTTTATAAGTACCACTAAAACCGCACTAAGTACTACTGAGAGTGTATCTTGTACCACTGAGCTGTAATAGTATTATTTGACAGCCTAATTAGACATTTGAACCTTTTTTAAATACCACTAAAATTATATTTTGTACCACTGAGAGTGTATTTTGTACCGCTGAATCTAAAATGACAAAAGTTAATTCCCGCATGAAATGACCGATCTACCCTTACGAGACACTTCTAAATCTCTCTCAACCCTCCATTTAGATAACCCCTGAATAGGCCTTCATGTCACTGCTTATACACTTCTAAATCTCTCTCAACCCTCCATTTAGATAACCCCTGAATAGGCCTTCATGTCACTGCTTATGTGGCGCCAAATACATTAAATGAAGGGTGACATGTGACGATACCATGTTATTTCTTTGAGTTTTTAAAATATTATAGATAGATTGATCATTCCGATATTCTACAAACAAGATTTATGCGGTCAAAAATGGTGGAAAATTCTAATACTTTTTTCATATACATCTTAATTATGGCTTATATTTACATGTTGAATAATTGTATTGTATTTAATCCAACCAGTGTGGATTTGTTCATTTACAACTAATTCCATGCAAGTAATTGATTGTAAAAAAATAAATAATAATTTTACATTTTAAAATATTTATATATTTTGTGTTGACATGTACTTGTATTTTTTATTTTTATTTTTTAAAAAAAAGTATGAAAGGAATTTAAAAAATTAAAAGGAAAATAATAATAAATTAATATGAATATGAATAAGGTTAAAATTCTCTACTTTGAATGTATTATTTTTAAGTCATCAAAACTCCCAGTTAAATACATTTTGTTTGTTAAAAATATAATGAAACAAAATAGTTAAAAATGGAAGATTACAATTTAATAATGATTATAAATAGTTTAAAAGTCCTAAGCGATCTTTCGCACACCACACTTAGGCCTACATTATCATCTCTACACAATGTTGACCATTGCAATCTTTCATTTAGGGTTTGTTATCTTCGGCTTATTTTCATTTTAGCTCCAATTATTCAAGTTCAGTTCAGTTCCTAATTTCATTCGCTCATAAAATATTCAGTTCAGTTCAACTAAGCTTCAATCTGTTCAGTTCCTAATTTTCTTCTCTCATTTCAATTCAGTTTAGTTCAGTTCCTAATTTCCTTCTCTCATAAAATATTTAGTTTAGTTCAGTTCTTAATTTCCTTCTATCAAAAAATATTCAATTCAGTTCAGTTCAAATCCAATCAATTCAATTCAGTTTAGCTCATTTTAGTAAATCAAAACAGACCCTTAATGATAAAATAGAATAATCTCCTTTTATTCGTTTCAACCTACATGCATACATTGTATCGTTTCCATGAATTAACTTCTAACATAATATAATTTGACTTCCAAAACTCATTAGTTGAGTTAAGTGTAACTTACCCATTTCATTGACCATCGCTAACAACAATCACTAAATTCCGCAAAATAAGAAAGGGACGTGGTATTTCGACTTAAAAATTTTCCATCTAGTTCATTACGAACTATAAAATCTATTACAACGATTTGGATTAATAAGCAAACAATGATACAATTAATAAGAAATCATAATAAAATTCCCAGAGAATGCAACACACAATACATTCATAAAGCACATAATATTTTTTGATGGGACATAAAGCCTAGCGTATTCTAAAAAAACTAGGAGTTTCACCTCAGACGCCCACATTTTTCATATAACCACACAGTTGTTCGCACGAACTAGGCGTTTGAGCTTAGGGCGTGCGAAAAAACTAGGCGTTTGCCACAAATTCAGGTTTTTTTTTTTTTTTTTTTTTTGCTGGTGATCGACTTCCCTTTGTCCATACTCGTCATCACCGCAAAAACAACCGATTTTTGCTTAATTGCTTCAGAAAGCTATCAGTTGAGATCGATTTTTGTATACTCACTTTATTTTTTTAAAAAAAAAAATTCACAAACATGCACAAGAGTTGCGTGAAAAAAAGCTAAGAAGAAACGTGGAATACCAAACATACCCATGGGTCACGCTAGTAAATAGCGATGCTCTTTTATTTTATTTTCCCACAATTTTAGAGGAAATATGAAGCCCATTTTCTTGGTTTTTTCTACTTTTTTTTTTATTTTTATTTTAAACAAATTTAAGAAATAAAAAATAAACAAAATATCAAGAAAAAAAGCGATAGAAAAAAAATAAATACTTCGTAGAAATGTAAGAAATAAAAAAAAAAAAATCAGTCTTCAATTCTTCATCTTCTTTCTCTCTCTCTCATCATCGTACCAACTCGAAACTGCAAAAGTACAAACCCTAGTAAGGAAGAAAACCACCCCTCAAAAAAAAAAATCCCCAATTTCTTCGAATCCCTAACCCTAATTTCAACCCTTTACTCTACATTTTCCTGAACAATTCGATCAATTTTTTTTCTAATTATTTTAGTCGAAGATCACATCGAAAATGCAATCGGATTTAAAATTCAGGTCGTAACAGATCGAATGATGGTAACCCTAGCGATAACTGAGAATCACGACGCCGATTGTATGGGAACAGAAACATGCCGGAGCTTCAAAGAGGGGTAAAACGACGTCGTACTTCTGTCAAGAATCAGAAATCTGATCATTTGGTTGGTAATTACATTCGAACTCGCGCCGCGGTTGCTAGAGAAACAGCAAAGGCGGCGGAAGCAGCTGGGAAGAAGGTTGTTGAGGAGAGAGAAAGGGTTGTTAAGAATCCCCCAAGAACTAGATTAGCTATTAAGAAGGCTAAACAGGTACAAATCCCAAAAATTATTAATAATAATTGTAATAAGAAGAAGATTGTTAGTAAAGTTCCGCTGATTGTGGTCTCTGAGAACGGAACTCGGTCAAAGGAGAGAGAATCAGAGGAGGAGGAAGAAGAAGAAGAAGAAGAAGAAGAGGAGGAGGAGGAGGAAGAGGAGGAGGAGGAAGAGGAGGAAGAGGAGGAAGAAGAAGAAGAAATGTTGGGTGATGATAGTGGTGGGTTAAGTGCCAATAATAAGGCTACTGGTCAGGATGATGATGGGAATAAATCCCCTTTTCCTGAAAGGGTGAGTTTTTTTTGCTTTAAATTTGGGTTATTTTGATTATACATTGAATTGGAATTAATTTTGTGAATTGGGTTGATTTTGATTGATTGTTTTTCAGGTTCAAGTGGGTGGTTCCCCTTTGTATAAGGTGGAAAGAAAATTAGGGAAAGGTGGGTTTGGTCAGGTGTTTGTGGGGCGTCGTGTTAACGAACGTGCCACCGGTGTCGGGGCTTTGGAGGTAATGTGTTTATCACGGTGTGAAACATTTGTGTATATGTGTTGATTAGTTTGGGATATGATTTGATTAACATTTAATATGTTGGCTAGTCCTGTTTTGAAGCAACTGAAGCTCAATGCAAACTTTGTTTGTTGATAAACATTGAAAGTGAACTTTATTGTTGATATTGAATCAATTTTTATCCTTGACATTAGGTAGTGGAGTGCATATATACTTTCAGTGTAACTTTTTTATTTGATTGTGCTTATGGATTTTTATTTTGTATTTCATAGGTGGCTTTGAAGTTTGAGCATAAGAACAGCAAAGGCTGTAATTATGGTCCCCCATATGAATGGCAAGTTTACAAGTATGTGTGAGAAACCCCGAAGACTAATTTTATTTTCGATGCTTTGAATGTCTTTGTTGTAATACAGCTTCTTAATCTTATTTTATTGCAGTACTCTTGGTGGTAGCCATGGTGTGCCCAAGGTGCATTATAAAGGGAGGCAAGGAGAGTATTATGTAATGGTATGTCCACTTATCCCTATTCTTTTACAGGCTTGTATCTATCTGGATATGTTCACTACTAATCACTCATTTGCAGGTCATGGACATGCTTGGACCGAGCTTGTGGGATGTTTGGAATTCTTCTGGGCAGACGTAAGTACTCTGTGTCATCTGTGCTTTATATCATTGGGATTACCTTGTGCTTATGAATGCTTTAAAGTTTAGTCAAGGTGGTGGTTATGCAATAGTCATTATCACGGTGGATGGTGCTGTGATTTTTATGACAACGTACTGCATGTTAATGATTTACAACTTAATTGAAAGTTCTGCAAAGTGTTTGTTACCGCAAATTTTCCAAAGTAACATGATGCAACAGTATAGAAAAATGTGTTGTTTTGTACACATCATTTCTCTGTAAGGGCTTCTAATTGGAGTTGCTGTATAGTATAATTGCTTGCTATAGCTCCTTTGTTTGCATCTAAACACATGTTGGCTTGTTTGGTAATTTCTTGTATGGGATATGGGAATTATGTAGTGAACTTGTTCAGGCTCAAGAATGATCAGATTCAATTCACCGTTTTGATGACAGGTTTTAATTTGTCTGGTCTGTTATAATCTCAGAGTTTATGGGATGTGTGAGTAGGCAGAGTAGCTCTTCTTAATTGGCAGTTTGTTTTGTACCTTGGGCGTTTTGAGTATAGAGCGGTGTACTTGAGGATGGGGTTATGAATATGATATATTTTTATTTGAATTTGCAGAGTGTATCCAAGACATTAATTTAGTGGACGAGTCCTATTGTATGCACGCACAAGGGAAACACCACCATATTAATAGGCTTCTGGAAATGGTTTGAGGCTTTGAGTTGTGTGTGGAGTGAATATGTCCAATAGCATGAGTGAGCAAAATTATGAGCCTGTCACTTAGTGATATAGGAAGTAACTTGTCTGGATATGTCTTGGAATTCACCAATTTCTACTTTTGGGAACATCTGGTGTATAGGTGCCAGGGATGGCTAACACGTATTGGATAGAATAGGATAGAAATGGTGTCATATCTATTAGTTTTTCTAAGCTTTGATAGAATAGGAGATCTGCATTTTTTTTTCTCCCTCTGGCAATCAATCTGGTGGTGCACATGGAAAGAAATAAACCGGCATACTTTTGTGGTATAACTTCTGTATAGTTTTTGCTAACTATGTATTTCTGCATTTTGTAGATAAATTTCTTATGATAGCTAGAGTCTTTTTTTTTTTTTTTTTTTTTTTTTTTTTTTGTCAGTTGCCCTTTAGAATTGAGCAACACTGCATCGGTGATATCTTAAATAATATTGCTGAGTCTGGTGGAAGAAGCTGATGTTTGATGACGTTCAGTAGTAGTGATATGATTTCTTTGTGTTGTTTTTTTCTTCGAAGTTAGTTTTTGCTTCAAATGCCCTCCTTTATGCAAACACTTTATGTGTTTTTGTCTGGTTTTTCCATGATAGGAATGATCTTTCTTATTCCTCACTTTGTTTTGTTTGTGCTTTGAACATCTTGTATGGAATCAAGTCATTTGATGTAATTGCACTTTTGCAGGATGTCAGTTGAAATGGTTGCCTGTATAGCAGTTGAGTCATTATCAATTCTCGAGAAGATGCATACTAAAGGGTACACTAATGCATTAGCATTCATTTATATTGTCTTATCAAATAGCTGGAGACACTTCTGAAAAATGTTTTTATTATGTCTTAGAATTTGAATTTAGTTCTTTAGATTTTGAATGTTAATCATGTCTTGTTTTACATCAATATCAGTTATGTGCATGGAGATGTGAAGCCAGAAAACTTTTTACTTGGACAGCCCTCTACTTCGCAGGAGAAAAAATTGTTTCTTGTTGATCTTGGACTAGGTAATTTTCGTATCTTGTAGGTTCAATCCTCATATATATGTTACTGTCATATTGTTTGGTATTGATTGTCTTGGCTTAATGTTACAGCTACAAAATGGAGGGATACTTCTAGCGGGCAGCATGTTGAATATGATCAGCGTCCTGATATGTTCAGGTAAATCAAAGACCAGGTTTATAATTGATCTGTATCGTTTATACTAATTTAGTCTTATTTCCTAATACCATGTGATATAATACTTAACAGGGGAACAGTTCGATATGCCAGTGTACATGCCCACCTTGGCCGAACAGCCAGCAGAAGAGATGACTTGGAGTCTCTTGCATATACACTTATATTTCTTCTGAAGGGAAGGTTACCTTGGCAAGGGTACCAGGTACCTGTTAGCTGCTTCAGCTTTACGATGCTATTATCCATTGCTGCTGCCTGCTACTACTAAAATCTAAGCCTAACATAATTTTTTGTCATCATTACTTTTAGGGTGATAACAAATCATTTCTGGTTTGCAAAAAGAAAATGGGAACCTCCCCTGAAGTTTTGTGCTGTTTTTGCCCAACGCCTCTTAAACATTTTGTTGAAATAGTTGTGAATATGAAATTTGATGAAGAGCCCAACTATTCTAAGCTGATATCATTGTTTGATGGGTTGATTGGACCAAACCCATCCATAAGGCCTATAAACACTGATGGAGCTCAGAAGGTAAATATTGCTGTCTCTAGTCTGTTAAGTTTTTTCTTTTTCTTTTTTCTTTTTTTCCTCCCATTGAAATTCTGTTGCTAACATCTTGTGCTGATTCCTACTTATTCTATTTTTATCCTATTAGATCATCTATCAAGTTGGACAAAAACGTGGAAGGCTAAATGCTGACGAAGATGATGATGGGCAACCAAAGAAGAAGGTCCGTATGGGTGTTCCAGCCACCCAATGGATTTCAGTTTATAATGCACGATTACCTATGAAGCAGAGGTTGGTTTTTATGTTTTTAAATATTCCATTATCAGGGTCAGACATTTCCACAAAATTACAACAATCTCTATCTTTCCCACCTGTTTTTATTGCAGATTCCTTAATTTTGCCAGTTTTACGCTAAAATTATCGATTTGGTTTAAATGTAAATAAAGAAAAAATCTGTGCCTTGCCATTGATGCATCTTTGTTTGGGTTTAGGTACCATTATAATGTTGCTGATGGTCGATTGGCACAGCATGTGGAGAGAGGTAATGCTGATGGCTTGCTTATAAGCTCCGTGGCATCATGTTCAAACCTGTGGGCGTTGATTATGGATGCGGGCACTGGCTTTACTCATCAAATTTATGAGTTATCAACTCAATTTTTGCACAAGGTTGGCTTATTTTTTTGTAATGGATTTTTAAAAATATATATATTCTATTTATTTTGTGGTATACTGGTATGTAGTTATAGTTTCTTTATTATTTGAATCGTTTGTCAATGAAATTTTATGCTTAAAACTTTGTAGGAGTGGATCATGGAACAATGGGAGAAGAACTTTTACATCAGTTCTGTTGCTGGTGCTACCAATGGTAGCTCCCTTGTGGTGATGTCCAAAGGTTTGTCATAAAACTATTTCTTTTAATATGATGGAAGATCAGAAAAATTTTATATGACTTTCGTCCTCTGTGCCTTATATTGGGTAATCTTGTTTGCAAAAGGTAGGTTTTTTTCCCCCTTACGGTTTCTTTCAGCTTTGAGTTCCCCCAGCAAATTGGAGAGGTGATAGTTGATGTTTGTCTTTGCCTCTCTTAGTCTCTCAACTGTAGGCTGGCTTTGGCTTTCATGTGCCAGTTCTTTTGAAAAGAGCTTGGCGTGAACTTAATGCTTTCTTCGTTCTACTTAAATTGCAACACTTACTATTTTGGGATGTTCAAAATGTTCAAATCCAGCACTTCCCTTTTGGAAACTCGTAAAACATCATCCATTTAATAAGCATACTTTTGCCCTTGGGAATCAATTTGGGATGTTCAAAATGTTCAAATCCAGCACTTCCCTTTTGGAAACTCGTAAAACATCATCCATTTAATAAGCATACTTTTGCCCTTGGGAATCAAATTGGGTTATTTGTATTAACTTTTACCTATTCTCCTCTTTTGTGAAGTTCTTTTTACTGTTAATCACATTGGTCAGAAATCCACTTGTATTGTTTCTCATTATGCCTAGAATATTGTGCAAATTGCAATCTATGGAGTTAGTGTTAACTATGAAGAGGCCTTATGCAATGCTACAATTAAGAAGCATTACCATTTTTTTCATTGACAACCCTGGAACAATCCTTTTATTATATGGTGTTGTGGTTCTTCGTATTTCCATCTTTTGCATTGAGTTTCTTGGCTCTATTTGCATTTTATAATCTGCTCCACTTGCAATGGCTCTTCTCTCCGTTCTTGGCTTGAAGGGACCCCCCCTGGTTTTTATGATTGGTGCATGGTATGGAAGGCTTGGTGAAGTTATGCTCACATGATAAGCTAATATGTGTTTCAGAATCCCTGTTTTTGGCTTGAAGGGACCTCCCCTGGTTTTTATGATTGGTTCATGGTTTGGAAGGTCGGGTGATGTTATGTTCACATGATAAGCTATATGTGTTCCAAAATTTATTAAATTTTAAGTTAGGAAGAATAAATTTATTAAATTTTAAGTTAGGAAGAATATGGGTCTCTGATCATTTTTGTTAGTTTTCTCATCTATTGACGTTGATACCTATGATTGCAGTTCGGAATCATGTAATGTTATCATGTTATGCATTGACTACAAGTATCGTTTCCTTTTAATAAATAACGAGGTGTTTTCTCAGGTACTCAATACACGCAGCAATCTTACAAAGTGAGTGATGCATTTCCCTTCAAGTGGATAAATAAGAAATGGAGAGAAGGATTTCATGTCACCTCAATGGCTACTGCTGGATCAAGATGGGGTGTTGTCATGTCCCGTAATGCTGGATTTAGTGATCAGGTACGGATTTTGGAACCAGATAATTATGTCTCACATTTTGCTGTTTTTGATTGCTCCCCAGTTGCCTGTATTTCTTAATGTATGTCTGCTTTTTTTTTTTTTGCGTGATGGTTGAATTTTGAGCATATACCCATTTGCATTGACCTATGAGTTTCTCATCCAGAGAAATGGATCTCATGATCCTGTTTTTTACTAATGCTAACTGCTGATCAGTAGCAGCAGATGAACTAAAATTATATTGCAGGATTGTCAGTTTTTAAGGACAACTTCTGCAGAATTACCATACGGGTTACTCTGCCTTTGGGATAGTGGGATGGGCGGGAAGGGGTTTACGCAGTCAGCAGTCTTAAACTGCTATTTTTGTTTAAAAGTTATAAATCCTTCTCTTTCTAGTATAAATTTCCATATTCTATAGCTTTTTGAAAATTTCAAGTTACTCTTTTTTGTCACTGCCTTTTAGTATTGTATTGATGTTTGTTTGCCTTTTCTTTTTTGAAACTTTTGTCGTTCTGCTTGTTTATAGTATTTCTGTCTTTATATAAAACGCTTTTCCCGTGTCTCTTTTTGCAAAGAGCAGCCCCTCTGCCAGTCTTAATTTCTTCGTGTCAATAGTATGTTCATCTGGACTTTTGTAATTATCCATATTTAGTCGTCACATCATTCTGACCTGCCTATCATGTTAGTTTAGCTTTTGTTGTAGCATTCTCTCCCTCAGCTGTTCCAAATTAATAGGGGTATCATGCGGAATATCGGTAGTTTTTAGGGATGGATCATTTGAAAATGGTATATGTGATTATTATATCTAGATCCTGTTTGGCAAAAGTAGCGGTGGCGGGTAACTTTAGCGGTCGAGTAGCGGGTAGCTGTTAAGGTAGCGAGTAGCGGTCAATTAGTAGTGGGTACATGTTAGCTGTCAAAGTAACAGTTCATAGTACGAGTGTTTGGCAAAAGTAGCGGTTATAATATGAAATATATCAAAATGCGTATAAACATTGTTTAAAAAGTAATAAAAAATTGTCAAGCGATACCCGCTACTTCTAAACGCTACTATTTTTAACATTTGAAAAAGCTACCTAAATGATACCTCTATCGCTAACCGCTATTAGAACCGGTACCTTGCCAAACACTCTTTAGTAGTGTTTTGACTAGTCAAAACGCTAACCGCTACCTCAAACGCCACCACCAAACAGGGACCTAGTCATCGGGTGTATAATTGTATATCATATTTAGTGGTTGAGCCATCATGTCTGAGATATAAATTGGATAGGACAGTATCCTGATTCATGAAGGCCCTTCTTTTTGTTTCCTGTTACTTTTGTTTCAGGTTGTGGAGCTAGATTTTTTGTACCCAAGTGAGGGCATTCACAAGCGCTGGGACAGTGGTTATCGAATAACTTCAACTGCTGCTAATATTGATCAATCTGCACTTGTCTTGAGTGTGCCAAAGCGCAGGCCAGGTGATGAAACTCAGGAAACATTGAGGACCTCTCAATTTCCAAGCACACATGTTAAGGTATGTTAATTCAATATTATGAAATCATAATTGTCTCTCTCCTCTTAAACAATGTAAAAGGCAAACAGGTCCTTTATATCCCGGATCGTCATTTTTGTTTTTCTTTCTAAAGGCTAATTTTCATCTGTAGAATGTTGTAAAGTCTTCTTAAGGGCATAGGTTTTTTCATTTGGTATGAGCTTCAATTTACCTGATGCTTAAGCTCTGTGATTGTCTGATAAAGTCTTATGGATAAGTGATACAAGGTCTTACTGTCTTAGCACTTGATTGAGGTAAAACCAGTATGTGCGAGTCCAGTGCCGACTAGAAACAGAGAAGATTGTATCTTGATGGACGTTAAATGCTACTGATCACCCTTTGTCATATCTTGCAGGATAAATGGGCGAAGAATCTGTATCTTGCATGTCTGTGCTACGGAAGAACTGTTTCATGATACTCTTGTAATTAGCAAGTTGTAACAGAAAATATGAACTAAAACAGAATGAGGGCCTTCTTTCTCATCAGTTGGCCCTTTCGTTATGTTAGGGATGGAATTGGCAGCCAAGTTGGGGAACTTTGTTTCTTAAGCAATTATGTGTGAAACAGGTCCCTGTATGTTGTATTGCTATTTGTCACCACTAGTGGCCTCCTTTGTCGATTACAATCGATAAAGTGGTGCTATTTATGTTCATTCTGTTCCCTTGATGCCTGTTTTATAGTTAAGATAACGATTCAACAATGATTTTTATTTATATTGCTGAGGACACTATGCTTAGCTTAGATTATTATCTCGAGATTTTGATTCACACCTGTCAACATTCTCAATTACAAATTTGAGTGAGTGATCTCATTGTATGTACTTGTGATTTTTGAACTCGTTCATTTGGGAATTGTCAGGCAGAGATCATTGGTGCTAATGGCAGTTCGTAATGGTGATGGGAGAGTATAGTTTCCAGCATGCACAACTTTGGAATTTAAAAGATGAATTGTTCTCAAAACGCGTTAATTTGAACCATTACGACTGCATAATCACACTCAATCTTTAAATGTTAAGCTTAAAAACCATATTGGGTCACAAGCTCAGAACGTTAACGAAAATTGTCACAAGGAAAAACGTTCTTGGAACAATTAAATCATTGATGCCTTAATTAATTTTAAAGGATTATTTTACTATTTAGTGATCTTGATCATTAGCCTCAAGCCCTTAATAAATTTAATTCAATGGAATTCCCAAACGTTTATTATTGTATTTATTGTTTGAATTATTCATGTGTTTATTTGACTGTCAAATAAGCCAGAATCACAAATGACGTGGTAATCTTGAACCACCCAATAATTTTTCGGACTATCACAACTTGATTTATTCAAAATCCAATCAATCTCAATACAAAACCCGATCTAATCCCATCCTTAATCCCAAATGACCTGCATATAGACATATGATACCTCATCGGACCCGACCCAACCCAACTCGACCCATGATAATCCAAAATTCCCACCTTTACATTACTTAACCAAACACAAAATGAATACGGGTGGTAGTGGTGAAACGTCCTGTAATCAAGAGAGACAAAGAGATAGAGAGAGAATATGGGGGTGTTGCTGCCTTATCTCTCATCCACACTCTACTCTTCACTCTTTTCCCAGCTCTCTCTTACCTCCAGAAACTCGCGTTCCAACTGTAACTATATCTCATTTTCTTTCTGCTGTTTTCTGTAAATTTGCAGAACTTTGATTGTTTCATTGCATAATTATCTGTTGTTTATTTCTGTATATTTGCAGACTATTGATTGTTTCATACCTTCATTGCATAATTTATCTTATTCAACCATTTTTTTCCTATAAAATTATATTGTGCAGTTGAATTTCATTTTGTTGTACTAAAATTTAGGAAATTTGGAGTAAATAGTATCTTTATTTTCAATATTTTGAAATTCCCATGAAATTTCTGGTAATTTTTGATATCAAGTATGCAAAGAAACTGATAATTCTTGCAATTTTGGGTAATAACATATCAAAATTTGAGCACTCTGGTCGTAGTATTCTGATCATTTTCACTTTTTTCTATCTTTGGTTATCAGTTAATTCAAAGTCGGTTGGATTGCGAGTGAGATCGAGTTTGGAGGATGAGAATTCCGGTACAGGTACTGGAGCTTCGGATAGTTCGTCGGACACTAGCAGCTTAAAGGTTTGTTAAATTTATGTCAAATTTTTGATATAATATGTGTATAGTTAAAGTTGCTTCATTTGATTCCATTAATATAAGTTTTGTTTTGAGCATTTTTCTGTTGTTGAATTAGCATATCATACATTAATCTCTCCTTTGTAATGATTTACTGATACATATTAATACATGGACAATATGTTAACAACTGCTGAGGCATTCTTGATTGATAACTTTGTGGTATACTTTCTTTTTAGTTGACACGTTTCTTTAGTCATGTTTGCCAATGCACAAATTCCAATCATTAATATATTGAATTATCGATAAGCAAAAATTATGAAAAGTTGATATTTTGAAAATATATATTGTGATGAATCTAACAAAATCTCATATGATTATATTTTTCATTACGTTTAAAGCACAAAACACGGTCAGGGGAGTGTGTGAATAGTGTTAAAGTCAAAGCGTGTCATCTAAAATTAAACGGAGGTAGTATATTATAATGTATTCATGTTACAATTTAGGAAATTTTGAGGTTTAGCAAGGTATTGACAGTCTGCAATTTAGAGATTCTCTCTTATAAGCTAATAAAGTAATAAGATGTCAATTTACCAATTTATTTCTTTGTTGGCTTGTTGCCATCAAATGAAAGGTGAGCCAAGTTCGAGTATGAAGATGTGGAAGAGATTTAATGTTCTGCTGTACTTAGACGGAGTACTTCCGTGGGGCTAACATATTGAAGCTTTATATTTGCTGTTGCAGGATGATCAAGTTGTAACTTCTCGGCGACTTTGTGTTGCGTGTTTATGCTCATCTATAGCTTTGATAAGCCCCTCTGGTAAGTCTCTGTCCAGACAAGAGGCTATTGCTGCTGAAGGAAATTTGAGGGCAGCCTGCCGTAATTGTGGCGGTAGTGGTGCTATCATATGTGAGTATAATTTATAAATTAACTGTTGTTATTTTCTTTTTAAGTAAGACCTAAATATTGTAGTTTGCCTTGTTTCATGAATGTGTTCTTTGATAAAAGCTGGTATCTGCTAGCTGGGGCTTCATAATTGCAATCTTCAGATTGTAAACAAATTTGGCTGAATGGATTCACAAAAATCCCTGTTTCTGTGTGAAATTCGACCATGCTGTAAACAATGACATTTATTTAAATTTCAGTGTCAATCTATTATTGGTTAAATTTAGGTCTTTCAATTTTGCAGACAACTCCTCACGTCCTTGGGGTTAAATTTAAGTCATTTAATTTTTGGGACATATCCTCGCGTCACAAGGATGTGCTATGTAGAAGCTTTTGTAGTCTGTTTGAAAAAAAAATCATGATGATTTCACAGATGTTTTTATCATTTCTTTGTATTTCTGCTAGAGCTTCAACTGTTACTGTTTATATATTGTGTAAGTTGTTTGTTTTGCCTTTTCATTTAGGTGATATGTGTGGTGGTACAGGAAAATGGAAGGCTTTAAATAGAAAGCGTGCTAAAGATGTATATGAGTTTACAGAATGTCCTAATTGTTATGGTAAGAACTTATTAACTTTGGCTCCTTATGCTTTTAGACTTCATTTATCAGTGCAATACATGGTTCTGACTCCGTGTTCACTGATTGTGGCTGTATCTTCATTTACCTTGAATTTTTCCTGATGTATAGGTAGAGGAAAACTCGTTTGCCCTGTCTGCTTGGGTACTGGCTTGCCAAATAACAAAGGACTTTTGAGAAGGCCCGAAGCAAAGCAGTTGCTGGATAAGATGTATAATGGTCGGTTATTGCCAGGTTCTTAAGTAAGTTTCATTCGCATGCGACTTCCCTCTGTTTGAACTTCTTCAGGTCTTTATATCTTTTTCTCTATGGTTAACAGGTTAAGTATTAAATCAATGCTCTGGGTACTGTTGTGTATAATTTATTACTTAGTCATAATTAGTTTTCACATTGTTTTCGATTCTTAATCAAGGATATGCCATGATTTTCCAAAAAGACTAAAACTCCATATTAGTTTTACCCTTTTTTTCATCCTCTCTTGTACACTAAATTTCAATTTTATAGTGGTAATTTGAATACATTAGGAAAAGAGTCGAACATTTCTTTAGACCTTGTATAATAATAGATTGACTATTATTTTCAGATATGGGGTGTGTTTGATAATATTGATCTGTGTAGAGTTGATTGAGTGATAGATATCCATTAATATGTTCTGATGTTTGGATAAATGCCTGAAAATGTTTTGGCTTGGTGCAGAAATGCAGATTCTCATATCATATGCAACCTGAACCTGTATACTGCAAAAGAACACTACAATACCTGAAATTTTGTGGTAGTATATATATTTCATGATATGAATATCATCTTCATACTTGACTAATTGTTGGCGGCAAAGCAGCTTGGTGTGTAGAGAGGAGTCCCAGATTAGTATGCATGCCAGATTTGTACCATATGATGTATGAGCTTTTGAGATGTAGGGTGCCTCTAAATGTGGATCATACTTTACGTAACTATCCCAGATTAGCATGCACACCAGATTTTGCAAGTATGAGATGACATTGTAAATGGAGAGTTCAGGTTGCTTTCAATCATATATAATGGTACATACCGGCTGTCCCTTGTTACATATGGTCTTAGGTTTACATATGGCCGATATTACAAACTTGCTGCTCTTTGGAAAATCCAACCTGTTCTTAGTTATACAATCTGACTGTCGTTTTGAATGAATGTATCCTTCACAGTAGCTTGGTAATCAGTATTTTGATGCTTAGTTTTCATGCAAAAATGGTAGTAGCATAGGACTATTGAAGATTCGAAACACCATTTAGATGTGCAATCAATATTGCAAATCCAGGTCAAAAAAATATTGCAAATCCAGGCTTGTATTGAAGATTAGATTAAAAATGAGAAAATTGATGGTATAAGGAACCCACGCTTCTAATTTGTGTTCACATTCATAATCAAGGATCAGTATTAGGTAGCTTGCTTAAAACAGTGTGCTCCGGTTTATGTTCACATTCAAAATCTAAATGGACAAAAGCTCGCTCAACTTCAGGTAGTTTCTCTAGCTTAATCTGTAGCGTCTCTCCAATGGCATGTGCTTCTTTCAAAGGAATATCCTCAGGTAGTTCAATGTCAACCTATTCCAGCAAAATGGAAAAAATAGTTTCATCAGATGAGCTGAAAATCAAAGACAAACTACAAAAAGCAAGAAATCAACGCACCTCCACAAAATAAAGCACGCCAAAAGTGTAAGCACGAACAGTGTCAATACGCTTAACTAGAGGATGCCTTATAACGAGGTATGTAAACTTTTGCAACACTTCAGGAGGAGCTGTCTGTCCTATAAGTGAAACTGCAGAAGAAATACGCGTTAACATAGTATCATACTCTAAAACTTTGAATGCAGCAAGAAATAGAACAGATTAACTTTCAAGACATGATCTTAAGTTCATTCACAAACTACTGTCTGGGTTCCCAAACAAACCTCATCTCACTGGAAGCACCCATCTAGCAGCAATAGTGTGACTCATGTGTGTACACATGATAACAAGACAAGAGTTTTTTCAAGTTCAACTAAGCTACTCAACTTGAATTTGAAAATTGTAACCAAGCAAATAAACCTACTTCACATGCTGTTATCATTCTAATAAAGTGCTATAAACTTTTTATAACCAAGAAGAAATAATCTCATGTGCAGCATATCTCTTTTTTATCCAGTTTCAACCAAATTGTCATTATTCTGTATGCTTATATCTCACTGATGAAAGTTTATTCTGAAAATGCTATGAAAGAAAAACTCAAGAGTTATAGTAAGTAGCTACCTGCATTCTCTAGAACAGTTCCTGACCAATTTGCAATCGTATATATTGCAAGGAGAATTGCGCCAGCAGGGTCTATCCACCAGTAAAACTTGTCACCAAGAATTGCAGCAACTAAACCGACCACATTTGTAACCACATCAAAGTAATGATCCTATGCGTAGGGGGGAAAAAAGGTTATTCAAGCGGTTAAATTCAGTGCCAACAGAATGGAAACGGATACCTCTATAAGTCTTTTACCTTGGCATAAGCTCGAACAATTTCATTTCCAGAGCTTCTGCAGTAAAGGAATAAGGCTAACTTTACAACAGTGGCTGATATCATAATCACGCAGAGCCATATATACTGGTCAAATGTCATTTTTTCAGCACCTTCATTCTTGATTAATTGTTCCACAGCCTGTATGAGAACTTGAAATCCTGCAAATCAATATCAAAGCTTGTTGACTTCATCGCTTCCAAACTACTCAGCAATTGATCTGAAGGCTCAAATGGTCAAACACATACCTAGGGTAGCCATAATAGCTGCAAATATGATGATTCCCACTGGCTGGACTCTTAATTTTCCAATAGGGTACTTGTAGATATTGATATTTTTCATCGAAAGATGAGTAAACCAAAGGATACCACCAGCCATAAGGTCAAGCAAAGAATCCAACGTTGATGCAGCAATGGCTAATGATCCAGTTTTTATGGTAGCATAGATCTAAGAATCAAGCAAAAACCATAGATTTAGGAAATTTTGGACATAATAAACAGGTGCATTTCTGAACACCATATTCTGTTCTGTATTATCATATTTTTCTGCAGTTGTACCCAATGAATAGGCAACTACCATATAGAATAAACATGATTGAATTCACTAAAGCATAGCTTAGCATGTTTTTTGCATACAAATAAATTGATCCTTCACTCAAAAACATCATCAATCCAAGATCAAGTGAATTATTTTGAATCATCACATTTCACAGGATAGAAGTAATGGTAACTATTAACAAAAAACAAGCTTAGCATAGCTTAACAGTGCAATACCTTGAATGCCAAAAGCACAATATTAGCATAATTTGATATCTTCATTGCTCGTTCGTGTTGAGCTTGTTCATCATCATCCTCTTCTGGCAAATCTGATTGGACTACATGATCAACCTCCTCAAAAGATTTCAAGGTAGCGAATTGTCTTTCATAGTACTCTTTCTCTCCTAAGGGAAGCAAAATAGTAGATTAGCCACATATAAGACCGAAAAGTCATCAGAAACCAAATAAGCATAAAATCATCCTCAATCATTACTTTAGGATTTCTATCTTAACAAAAATGTTGTATTGCACATCATTGAATTAAGTTCATATTACAGTTTATGAAAAATTGAAGGGGAAAACACCAATAAAATTATGCAACGAACTACAAGTTACTCATATGCACATATCCAAATAAAGGCAATTGAACTTCAATAGTCCCTACTCGTATAATTCAATGTCATTTTCGGGTGTACAAAGAGCCACAAAAAGGACAATAATAATGTAGACGAGATTTAATATCACATCTCAAAGATACCACCCGGTCACCCTACTTTAACTTAAAAGTTAATTAGTATCCACACAGTAATTCAATGTCACCCACATATCATATGACATATCAAAGAATATACCCTTTCCACAACATACTAGCACAAAGCAACACAAAATGAATCCAGCAAATTGTAAAGACCTTCACTTTTTCAATTTGAGGTAAAAAGAACTTCACTTCAGCAAGAATCTAGGACCCCCTTTTTCTTTTTTTCCTTATTTTCTCTTCTGACTAACATATATGTTATAATCAGCAAACAAACAGGGAAAACAAAATTGAATCAACTGGCAATACTATCAAATAACTATCTTTCATGTATAAAACACTGAAGATTAAAAAAATAAATGAAAAGAGAGAAATTAACATCTGAAGATTAAAATAAGATAAAGAGATTTAAAAAAAAATTAAAAAAAAAATTAAAACCTTGAGTTAAACTATGAGTTTTAGAGAAAATAACATCATAGCAAGATTCATCATCAACCCCAGAACGAAGCTTGTCAGGTAACCTGGAAATGAAGTCTTGTCTCAACGAGTTGACCGAATTGCGACGGCGTAATATCCCTTGCCGACCGTTTTGACTCAGTTTCCGACCCAGTAATGGCGAGCCTGAATTTGGCTCCATTGTTAAGACCCCACGAAAAAAGGCAAATCTTTAAGGAAAAACTTTGTTTAGGAAAGGATTAATTTTGTAAAGCTGAAATTTCAAGGCCACTTAATTTTTTTTTAAAAGTATAGTAGTGTAGGTTTATTTAGACAGATGGGGCCAATTATATAATTTGATTTTTATGTCCTGAGGATGTGATTTAAGATTATAATAATGGTGAACATGTGATTAGGATGAAAATCAATTATTTTTGTTGTTGTATAAGTGTTACGGAGCATAAAATTTTCATAATGGAATGCATCCGTGTCAATGGTGTACAAATTATGCACGAAAATATGTAATATTTATAGAGAAAACAATGTTGAAAGTTATGAAAAATTAAAGAAAACATAATTTGAGGATATGATAAGTACATACTTTGCAGCTATTCAAAAAAAAAAAAAAAGTACATACTTTGCAATAGATGTGATTTTGTCATAATGAAGTTGACTTGAAGTTATAATTCTTAATTTTGAATTTTTTATAAAGTTATGTTGTTGACCAGGCAAATTTAAGTATTTATTTATGGGCTTATTTGGTGAAGCATGCTGTCCAAAAAGTCCAAACCTTTAGTTCAACCAATTTTATTATTTTTTTTTTAAAAAAAAAAAAATTAAAAATCAATGTTCAAGTCTAAGGTACTTCCTAGGAATACAATGTGAGTGAAGAATGTAGGATAATCTCACTTATGTTTCCTCATTGAAAAATTCTGATTCGTTCTTCGATATGAAATTGGAAGAAAGTGTCGATAAACACAGTAATATTTTAAGATGGTAATTGAAGATTATTAAGTTTTTTTTGAGAATCTTTATTTTTTAAAATAGGCCCTTTTTTTTAGCCTAACAAAGTTGGACATCATGGTGTCTTTCGTGTTAACTTAAAGTACCTAAGGCCCTAATCATTTTACCTTAAAAAAATATTTAGTTAAATAATTTCGGTTCAGTAAAATTAATTTCGGTTTGGTAAAAATAATTTCAGTTCAATAAAAATTAGTAAACTTAAAGAAAAAATATAATAGAAAATCAGTAAAAATAATTTCAGTTCAGTAAAAATAATTTCAATTCAGCAAAATTAAGATGAAGTGAACTGAGCCTAATTGGTGACTAGAATAATTTCTTGCATCTTTTAATTACCACTACAACAAATGTCTAAAACATCCAAATTATTGATCAAAACTCGATTTTGGGACTTTAAAGGCATGTTGGTATATTTTATGACCCTAGGAACACTCCCTACATCCTTTTTTTAATTAAAAAAAAAATCTTCAAAATAATTCTAAATCGTGTATTATCCCTTTTAATTATTAAAGAAATTTTGATTAATCTAACATCAGATAAGTGAGGAACAATTTGTTTTTCAAGGACCCCATGAGACCTCGAGATACCATTTATTTCGGTTCTTTGTTGTAGATTCACAGGTAATGAACATATTTATTTATTGTCATTGGCCGAATGTCATCCCATGCCTTTATGTGATCAACTAGTGTTTGTGTATATTTAAAACAATATTATTATAAATTCAAAGTTCGTATATAGTGAATCTAATAAGGTTCAACATTAAGATGCGTTTTCTTCTCTTGCTGTTTAAGGGACCTACGAAACTTTATTTAGAGGTAATGGAAGCCATCTAATTCATGTCACCTCTTGTATCATAACAACTTATCAAGTGGCCTACTTTGGGCATCATGGGTTGAGTTATGACAACCTCATTTTCCAT